GTAAAATAAATATTAAGCTTTTTTTTAATACCCTTTAGATCATAATTGCTCTTTATTTCATAAATTATGGTTTCATATTTTTAATTTTATGATTTCTGCATCCCATCTTACCAGATTTAAACTGATGATTTATAATCCAGAAAAACCGATAATCCGGAATCACCGAAGTCCCGACGAGTCCGGATTAAAGACTTTTGACTGTATACATTTAACATTTAGTTCTGTATACCAAGTGTACAATTTAAAAACTAGGCTGAATATAAATAATACAGTCAAAAGTCTTTAATCCGTACTCGTCACGACTTTGGCGATTCCGGATTATCGATTTTTCCGGATTATAGATCACGAGTTTAAATCTGGTAAGATGGCATGCAGAAATAATAAAATTAAAAATATGAAACCATAATTTATGAAATAAAGAGCAAATATGATCTAAAGGGTATCAAAATTTATGAAAAAAAAAAAAACTTAATATTTATTTGTTTACTTTATTAAACATTTCTTTCAATGTGCACATGCGTAAAGCATACATTATGCATAGTATAAATTAGAAAATTGCAACCAGAAAACTATATGATTTGCATTTGTGATATTTATAATGACGAGGAATTTGATTTAAATCATATCAAAGACGGAGTATATCAAGATGAAATACTACATTTAGTAAGGAATTATAAGCCAAATAAAATAAAAACATCTGCCCTGAAGATAAGGATAGTGCTGACAAATCAACTTCCGGTTCATTGCGTGTTGCGACGTCTCCCCCCCGTGCAGAGCAGCGTGAAATTGATAAACAGATTTCGGAATGATTAGAGAAAAAAAGGAGCCTTTATCCATTTTTTGCAGCAATTCCACTTTTTGTTTGATGGACGTCGAAACATACTGTCCCTTTGTAGATCCAGCATCGGAAATTCCATTTGACATAATCGAAAGTTCCAACTTACTTTTATAAAATTGCTCTAACAGTCTGGAAAAAATAATAAGCCGGTTCCAATTCGAAGATTAAGGAACAACGCAATCTGCAACATTAACTAAAATAGATAATTTTAGCTTAACTTATACCATCCGTTATACATTAAACGCGCATACATAAATGTATTATGTGCATGTGTACACGCATATGCGCATGCATAAAGGTATTACGCGATTGCATCAACGCGAACTTGCGTTGACGCGTGTGCAGAAAGTTTGTAGCTTTGAGGTCCGGATTATAGACCATTCTGGATTATGGGTATCCGGATTAACGACTTTTGACTGTATAACCGCCCCACATGCCCATAATATAAGCGAAATGAGGTATTTACACAATTTTAGACAGATATGCATATAAAGTTGGGCAAAAAAGCAAGCCTATTAAATATACCCCTTAAATATACAGCAACTAGATATTTTTACCCATATACATTTCTACCCACATACAAGAATAATAAAAATGACCTGTGTAAAAAATTTCATGGCTGGTATTGTGAAATACTGATATAGTTCGCATCAAGAATAATGTATCTATGAAATAAAATTAGTGAATTTTATGAAGCAATATTATAACCATTAAACACACATAAACGTGAGTGCCATCTAAAGCCTTAATTCACTAAGTGCATGCAGCTACTTAACATAAATTCATATATACCATTCCCATTCAAGATAAAGCAGAATGAGTTGCACACAAAGTTTTGAAAATAACAACAGGGCTTAATTTCTAAAATTAGAAGTGCTGGAGCCCTATGGAAGACCATCAGCAAAGAGGAACAAAAGTAAATAAAGAAAATGACTTTTAAAATCATTAATAAGATAAAAATTAAATAGTCAATTATTACGAAAGTAATTACTATTTAATTAATTTTAATAATTAGTATTTGTCAATTATTATTTAATTAAATATAATATATTAATTTTAATTATTAAAATAAATGAAAGCTGTTTTAAAGATAAACGTAATTAAATTTAAATTAAATAAAATGTAAAGAGATAAATTAAAATTTAAGGTACTTTTCCGTTTTGCCGGCGCAAACGATAAAGTCGCCAATAATGGTACAACTGATGCCAAACGGAATATCTTCGCTGGTAAACCTTTTACACCTCATTTTCAAAACAAGTCGCAGCCATTTCTTACCAGATTGATTGTTTCTTTCAATACTGGCATACAATTACATAGAATATTTACAAAGATAATTAAATTTTATGCCCTAAGACTATCGGTAATGGTAATTAAGTCATTAGGGCAATCACACCGCTCACCCGAAGGTGAAAATATTGAAAAGGCAAAGTCAAGGGTTAAATTCATCAATTCTAATGAGAATGCACTAGTGAAGTAAAGCACTACGGTTTTACATAATTTCTCAGTAAGCTATTTGTAGGAATTGAAATAATTCTTGCATTTAAACTTGTATTCCAAATTAAGATTTAACTTTAAATTAATGCAGATAATTACTGAAAGAATTATATTTTTGTAGCGTAGTTTACGTGAGATGAGATCACTTGTTGTCACGTGATACGAATCGGCGAATCAGGATGTTGAACCATGATAGCATAGTAATTCTTAAATTGTCTTTTTACAAATTTATTGTCTTTTTATTATTACAAATTATAAACCATATTAAAATGTTTATGTCTTCAAAATAAAAAATTCTGAGAACTAACATTTGTTAAATTTTTTTTATGTGTATACTGTATGTTGTCGCCAACAAAGTCTGCTTGGCGAGATTTGCGCCGGCGAAGCGGAAAAGTACCAAATTTAATAAACAATTTGTAATATAATTTTATTGCAAAAAATAAAATTTTCGAGATCAAATTTTGGTTGATCTTTAGATTATGGTATCTTGGCGATTTTTTGGCGACCCTTTCCAAATATGAACATTTCCACGTATAAAATAAATAAAATATCCAAAAACTTTTACCTCTAAATTATCATTATATTATAAATGTCACCAATGAATTCATACCGCAAACATTACAAATACTTAGTGTCAAATATTTAAATTATTTCCATGCACGTTTACTTTCAACTAAAACGTATACCAAATTCCTACAAACATCAAATTCACAAAATAACTATCATTTAATTAAAATATAATGAAATTCAAAAACACTACTTAAAATATAAATAAGCACATACATTAAATAATAAAATTAGCTTACAATCCTAATTACTTTAAACTAAATCATTGCTAATAAACAATTTTCCCAATAATACCAAATTACTTTACTTCCACCTACTTTAGAACAATGCATAAAAATAATATCCTCAAATAATTAAAAATACTAACTTACCTAATCTTCTTCAGCAATTTTGCTTACGTGGTGGATACACTTTTATAATGGATTCAATAAAATTATTGAACAGATTTTTTCTGCGAATTTTTCCTCTACACTTCCTTTGCTAAATAAAAAGCAAAATTCTCTTTATCACAATGCTACGGAATGGCGCTTTTTTTATAGCACTACACGTGCCCTTGATTGTACTGGTATGTGCACCTGTTTCAGGATCTTTAAAATAATTTTTATGGTTCACAGCAAGATGTTTAAAACCTTCATCCTTCCAAACATTCGTATGATTTCCAGCAATCAGAAATAATTATAGTACCCAGTAGAATATATTCTTTAATAAAACTTAATAAACAATCTTTACTTCTATCTCGCACAACCTTAAATTAAAACATTCATTACTATCCCTTTCAATCCCACCAAACCCATTTTCCTTCCACTCTCCTACCTCTCTGATACTTCCGCTTCCCAAACTTACTCTCACAATTTCCACAATAACATTCATACCACCAAGCATACCCATATCATTTCGCAAAATTCCACGCACACTTCCCTACAAAAGAATTCCAATCAGCTGCAGTCCTACTGCTAATTTCTAAATCCGAAATCCAATAGTCAACTGGCAATCTATTCACCCAATAATAAGAAATCAATAAAATCTCACCCATACTCAAACGACTTTCAGCAAACCACGTACCCTTCTTATATATCCGTTTCACAAAATGTCCATTTTCACCAGATTTCTTGCACCACATTCAAACTTATCAGAATATCCTTCCTTTACACAATCTCATTTCATTCCCACATTTTGGACATTTCATACTTATCCGCAATTAAACATACAATCATGCACCATTCAAACCAATTCTTTTGAATTATCACACAAACGCATTAAAAAATCTAGAATTCACTTTAGACAGCGCCATACAATCCCAAATTATTCAACCCTACTTCAAACAACACACAATGAGCTTAATCAAAATATACAGCCACAGATATTTTTCCAAATTCCCCCCTTTTCCAATTAAAGAACCGTAATTCGTCCATTAATATCACATGACATATCCCGTGATCTCTCATTTCCCTCACACAAAATAATGCGTAATCGGAACTGAGTACTGCTCACATTATTACCAAAGTCCCAGGTAGTAACCTTTATCGCCTCCAAAATGTCGCCAAACTACCAGTTACCATATTCTAAAGATCAGCCCAAATTTCTATTGAAATTGTTGTTCAGTTACAAAAAAAGAAGTGGAGCCTTCGAATTTAGGGCTCTGGTGCACTCGGGCTACGATTATGATTTATCCCAAAAACTAAGAAGTACAGGTGCAATTTAAGCTCTGAATAACAGTGATAGATACATGAAGATTTTTAGAAGCAATGCTGCTACAATAATTTCATTTAACTGAATTACATTAATACACAGATTTTCATTTTAATAAGTTCATTTTTATTAATACAATTAATTTCGTTTAAAGAGAGAAATATAAATACTGCTCATACACAGACATGTGTTTTAAATCTTTGACAAGTACAACCCAAAAACATACAGCAAATATTAACTGCATTTCTTACACAGCCCACACACAAAAGCGCACTTATAAATGAAACAGCTTTCATTTACTTACCTTTAAGACATGTCATGAACGAATTCATACATTTAGCATTTTTCTCAATCTCAGTAACTAATTTAAGATAAAAACAACTAGTTTATTTTTTGAATTATAGATACTTACTTTATATAGCCACTCGTACGAATTGATATCAGACATTGTAAAGGATATAAAAGTTTCACTAATTTTCCTTCACTCCAAAGAACATATGGTAATATCAGATGATAACATTATCAACTACCTCCTCTCCTTATACCCCACAGTTCACAAAAGTGCAACTCACGAAGTATAATGATGCAATCACGGAGTATGCAACTTAAAAATCGTCTGGTAAATAACATACTGTTGCCAAGTGTGTGCAAGTCGTAGGTCAGGGGAGGAAATAAATTTTGAGCTTCAGCAAATGCACTGATTGGTGAAAAATATGAAAACTTCGAAACAAACTGAAGTGATTGCTGAAAATCTGAAACAAACTGAAAACAAAAGAAGTTTTAAAAAGAGTATTTAAAAAGTCCTGCTTTTTATAATATTATTATCAAAATTAAGATTGGCATCACGAATTTCGTATCTATCAGGGAGGTGTAAACAAAATCATGTTAAAGCCGCAAATTAATTTTGAAATTTTGCTTTTGTTATTAAAAGTAATAATTTTAATTTTCTGATTTTTACAAAAGTAAAAATGTGAATTATTATTTATTTATGCAGTTATATATTTGGTCTATTCTATGTTTTAATTTTTATTTTTAATATTCATTCGCGTGATATTTACAGGCTACATCAAAACAGCAAGTAGTGGAAATTTGTCAGAATGCCTTTAAATATCGTGAGAAAGAAATACCACCAAATCATTTACTTAAACCTTTAGCAGAGGCTTTTAGTATTGAAACTGATGAAGCTTCAAAAGTGAGTAATTGTTTATTATATAATATGTATATGTATTGGAGTATGTATGTATTGGAGAATATGGAGTATATTTGTTTATTATATAATATGTAATATGTATTTTGTTAAGAAGCATAGCCAAAGATATGTGTTGAAACAACAGTGTGCCCCCCCCTCCAAAAAAAGCCTAACAATTTCAGCATATTATTTTCTGACAGTTATAAATTCAGAATTCTCCTGGTATATATATATATTTACAATGAATTGATTTATTAGGAACATACTAATTTGCAAAAATCTTAGACACAAAATGTTTCTCATGAAATTATTACAAAAAAGGCTTCATTTGCCCACCTAGGCTAAAGGAAGTATATATAAGTAATTATAAAATAAATTTATTGTTTTTGTTATCATTATTATTATTGTTGTTACTTGCTAGTTATAGAGAGTATGAAGCCAAACATGGTGACGTGCAAGTTTCAGACCAAATTTTGGCTTGTACGTATTACTGATATTAAAATAGGTGTGTAATAAGTATCCAAATGGTTCTTATCATTTATAGAGACCATGTGTTGCAGATAATTCGGAAAAGCAGTCACCAACACATAATCCTTATAACCAATAAGAACTTTTTAGATTTTTGCCTAATATCTTTCTATGTGTATTGCATATCAGTGTAGCCATTTCGTGTTTTATAATAGTGTCAATCAAACCATGTAAATCAAACCTATTAGGTAAGTTAACAAGGATATACATTTAAAACATCCAAAAGTACAGTGTTTATATTTTTAAAGTATTAGTGTTATTTTTTAGGCCAAACATTAGATATTTATATTAAATTATTATGAAATAATAAATAAAAAATTTTCATGTTCTTAACCAAAATCTTATTGCACATTACATCATGCACCTGTGAAAGTATTAAGTAGTCTTAATGCCCCTGGCTGGCATCTATCCAATAATGAAATTTGAAGTTGAAGATCCTCTGAGAGAAAGTTGAGAACCATCTAGTTTTATTAGATAGCTTAGCGGAATGGCTGTTAACTGATAAGACAAATTCTTTGTTAAAAAACTGTTTCAATCAAGATCCTTTGTTCTTTTTGTTTCATGAAGAATTTGATAATAAAGAGCAGATACTTCATTAAAATTCCTAGCAAATTTAATTAATTTCTACCTGTTATCAATTTAGTACTTTCGAGTTATCCACAACCCCCACTGGAGAATTCACCAGCCATTGGTGACTAACTTTATGCTAAGCTAAGGTGCAAAAGATAACAATCATATTCAAAAGTGCCAGTGTACAAAGAATAACATAAAGCAGCACCCAGGTAACAAAATTAAAAATGCAAGAAGCATATATCATGAAACACTTCTTTTATTTATTTAGTTATTTATTTTTTGCACTGTTCTTCAATTTTTCACAAGGATGTCTTTTTTAACAACTCGGTATTGAATATAACTTAGAAGTGTGCACACTGTCATTCTTCTCATGCACACTATGATCTGTTTTCACTTTAAAAAATAACATAGAATTTCACAAATTTTGATCCATAAAATTTGATTGTTTTAAAATATACGAATGCAGATTTTGTGTTCTCTATTGTTGAACAAAATGCCACATTTCAGAAGGAATGTGATCGCTTTCTTTTTCATCAATTGACAAACTCAAGAATATCATTGTGATTGTTTATGAGAAAACAAATGTGCTCAAGTGTAGCAAAAACAAACATTAATCACAAAAATTACTGTTGAATTTGAAGGCATGGACAGGGCCGGCACTAGCAGTTTTGCTGCCCTGGGCAAAGAGGTAAAATGCCGCCCGTTTATAACAAAAATTAAAAGAGGTAACCTAAACTCTTCCCACGCTTAATGGTGAAACAAAACATGGGCAAAAAATTGCTATCAATAATGTTGAAGTTTTGATTAGCAAAAATTACTAATTTATTAATTTATGTTTTTGGCACCAAATTAAAACTAGGGTTGCACAGAAAAAAAGAAAAGAGTCATTTCTAGTGTATAATTATAAATACAGATGTTAAAAAATACTAAAACAAATTATAGAACCATTAAATATTAAAACTTACTTATTAAAAATAAGTGTTTTTTCTCACTTTTAATTCTGAAATTTTTTTAATAATTTCTTTAACATTAATTTCTTCAGCCAGTTCATATTCAGTGGCTATTGTTGTCAAGCCGGTTTAGCTGATCCTTGGTAATTGTAAAGCATAAAATTTTTTTAAATTAATTTTAATTCTGAGAAACTCCTTTCTCCACTTGTCACACTTATTGGGAGAGTAAGCAATATCCTTGAAACTATACCGAGATTTGGAGCAAAATCCAGGTTCGATATGAATTTTAAAATCTCGATTGGACTTTCTTTTTTATTTAGCAAAGCCCAAACCACTACTATCTTGTCTGCCAGGTCCAGCGTGTTTATATCTGATGATTTCCCATCAGTTAACACTATTTCTAGATCTTCACAATACTTTAGTACGTCATTTTGAGGAGTTTCTTTTAAATCACAAATATTGTATAAAAATTGGAAATAGTTGCTAAAACTCTGCCTTATATTTCAAAGTAGGATCTTCTATCAGATCATCTCGTGCCTCATAGTCGAAATTAAAATTCCTTCTTCGAACTCTATGACATGGCTGGGTGAGCTCAAAATTAGCCAGTATGTCAATTTCGTCACCGAGATCTCGAGCATCTCAAAGCATTTCATTCTCGATCTAAGATCCTTGAAAAAATCTTTAAAATTTTTCAAGAGCTCCTTAGCAGATGGTAAATCATAGTCTTTTGCTGCAAGAGCTTACTTATAGGATTGATACAATTATAGATTTTGTACCAAATTACAATGCAGCATAAGAACTTAAATTGTTTAACACAATTTAATAGTCTAGAAGCCTCAACTCTGATAGAGTTGTCAATTATTATTACAAACAGCAAGTAAAGCATTGTATATCCCTCCTAATCGATGCCTTAGTGGTTTTAATGCATCTATTCGGCTTTCCCAATGAGTATCACTTAGAGGTTTCAAAGTAAGTTCATGAACATATTTTATTAATATGGCCCGTGGAAAAGTTGATAAGGAAAAAAATAGATACATTTTTTGGACTATATTAAAAAAATTGGCATCTTTGAAGGATAATTTTGCCATGTCATTAGCTACCAAGTTTAATGAGTTCCTGCTACATGAGAGGTAAAATGCTCTTGGATTTAACGCATTTATTCTAGATTGTACTCCCGATTTATTGCCTCTCATGTTAGTATTATTGCCTTTCATGTCTCATCATCTCACTGGATCTAACTGAGCAAGTAACTGAACAATTTGTAAAATATTACAGTTACCAAAATCGTAAAGTTTGTCATTTGTACCTCGGAGGGCTAAACAATTTTGAGCAAGCATTTTTATTGTTGCAACAATTCGTAGAAGCACCTCGTACCAATGATTTATTTCTGCGGTAATGAGTCTTTGTTAGTGACTGGGAATCGTTTTAGTGTACTGCACTTTCTGACTTAATTCAATCCAAGACTTATGACTTTGGTTATGTTTTTTAGAAGTTTCATGTTGATTTAAAGTCTCAGCGAGGTGCTTCCAATCCTTAAAACCTCTAATAGAAAGTGATTTTAAAATAGAACCAAAAGGTTTGCAGCAAAAGCAATAAATATAGTCTTTTGTAGTTGAATAAACTAACCAGTTACGCATGACTTTTTCACCATTTTTCCTATTTCTCAAATAATGAAGAGCGCTAAATCTTCGACCATTATCATTATACAGAAAACTGTTTTCCTTTAATGGTTGAGGTAGTCCTTCTTTTACCAAAAAAATATATTTCTGCTTCTGATAAGCTAGTTGGCCAGGAACCCAGATCTGAATTTATTATTGTGCCAAATGTCTCTTCTTTAGATATCTCTGGAGTAGGTTCAGTAGACCTCCCTAGAGTTTGGTTCAGTAGACGTCCCTAGAGTTTGGTTCAGTAGATGTCCATACAGTTGGTTCAGTGGACGTGCTGGAGTTGGTTCAGTGGACTTTCTTAGAGTAGGTTCAGTGGACATTCTTAGAGCAGGTTCAGTGGACCTCCCTTTAGTAGATTCTTTGTATATTCCTGGAGTAAGCTCCACTTGAGCAATATCGGTATCTTGATTGGTAATGGCTTCATAATTAAGATTTGAAGTAGCTTCTAATATTCGTGTGTCGTCATCGTTCCTTTTCATGCCTTGTAGATAATTTAACAGACTTCCAGCCTGTTTTTGAATTTGACTCTTTTTCTTTTATACTGAGCATCCGATAATCTTTTACGTCCGTCAGACATTCTAAAAACAAAAACAATTAAAATTACGAAAATGTTCCCATAAAAAAATAATTGTGTTTTTTTTAAACAAAACAGAGGCATTTTCGAGTATTTTTTTAATGTTATAAGGCAATATTTTGTTGTCTTTGTTTAAGGTAAAATGTAAGAAAGACAATTTATAATCCATGACTGGCATTTCGAATTTAATCAAACCTTCATAAGAGCTTCAAGGTTTGATTAAGATCTAAGTGTCAGCCATAGACTAGAAACTATTTTTATTAACACTATACCCTAAACAAAACCAACAAATTTATCAAACTTATATAAATTTAAGAAGCAAATTATATTCTATTTCTTAAAATGTAAAAATATTTTGCAAACAATTTTAGAAAGACCTTGGTTTATACCAATGGATTAATGTATTCTCTATTGGGCGTTTTTCAAAAACCATTTTAATAAACATTTAAAAAAATAGAACCGACTTTAAAAAAAAGCACTAAAAAGTGTAAAATTATTTTTAACTGACTTCACTGAAGTAATATAAAGTAATTCTACATATTTTTATATTTTTAAAATCAGGTGCCTGTGTTTTTTTTTTTTTTTTTTTTTTTTTTAGAAAATAAACCTTATTTAATCGAAAAACTTTAACTTTTTTCCACCCCTTAATATTAATCCCAAAGGCGAAAGGGGTAGTTTTTAAAAGTTTTATTTTTGCATTTTATTTGGATT